TGTCAGATATCATCTATACTTGTCCCATCTATGCCTCGTCCACACTGTGCCTCGACCCCACTGTGCTACCGTTTTTTAATTGAATTTTTGTTTTACGACAAATTAATTTGGCACATTCTAAAAGCTGACATTTTTCGCAACAAAATACATAACTAAAACTTTAAATTTAATCAATTTTAGCTTCGATGCGAAGCTGAGAAGGTATTAATTTTACCATGATGTGTTTTTTTTTATGTCTGCTGTCACTTTATCTCTGGACCGATTTCTTTCAAAAATACGTCAAAAGATTACAAATCGTATCTAGTTGAACACATTACCCTTAAAAATTGAAAAATTTTCCAAAAAAATCTAACACTAAACCTGCTCACAAAGGGTGATTTAAAATAGCGACATTTTACAAAACTCAACTTTTGAAAATATTTTAGAAATACTGCGTCCTTTAAGAATATACCAAATGTAAGCTTATGTTATGTACTATAATATGAAAATAAATATTTGTCCCGGATTTTATACTCTGCGTGCAAACGGCTACCATAGTTAAAAAAATGGTATTATCTGTTAAAATTTTGAATTTTAAATTTACAACATTAAATTGCTATAAATTTTCGAAAAATGTATGTATCAACACATTTTAGCTTCGATGCGAAGCTGAGAAGGTATTGGTTTTACTAAGATGTGTTTTTTTTTTTTTTGTGTCTGTTACCACTTTTTCTCAGCTCTCACCGAACCGATTTCTTTCAATGATACGTCAAAAGATCACAAATTGTATCTAGTCGAAGGCATTACCCTCAAAAATTGAAAAAATTCCCTCGTTTAAGGGAATTTTTTGATATTGAGCATTATAAACCTAGTAACTGCTATACTTCGAATGTCTTATGTTCACAAAAAAATATTCAATGTCCATTTTTATAATAATTATTATGAAATATGTATATATATATTTTTTCATTTCATGTTACAATTAATTTTAATATTTTTAACTATTTTTATGGATTTTTTACTATATTAATTAAATAGTTGATATTTTATTTCACCATAATATTTTTATTACAATAAATACCAAATTTAACATTGTTAGTGGGCTTGATGTTTTGTATTAAGAAACCAAACACCAAGGAAGTCATATATCTTTGACTGTAATATGTTACAATAAAACGATATTCTTTTAAATCATTAATACCATGAATACTTATGATTAGCTTCATTTCACTACTCTCCATGGTGGGAAGGAATCACTTTATATTTCTACCCAGAATAGTAGAAATAGAATATGAATTATAGTATAGATTTTAATCACTGTCAGATATCATCTATACTGGATCCAACTATGTCACGACCCCACTGTGCTGCCACCCCCTGTTCTGGGTTTTTTTCATTTTATAATTATTTTTAATATTTTAAACTATTTTTATGGATTTTTTTCTATATTAATTAAATAGTTGATATTTTCAAAATTTTATTTCACCATAATTTTTTAGTTTCGATGCGAAGCTGAGAAGGTATTGGTTTTACTAAGATGTTTTTTTTTTTGTGTCTATTACCTCTTTTTCTCAGCTCTCACCAAACCGATTTCTTTCAATGATACGTCAAAAGATCACAAATCGTATCTTGTCGAAGACAATACCTTCAATAATTGAAAAAATTCCCTCGTTTCCCGTAAATGGGGGAACCTCCATTTCATTTCGAGATTTTCGAAATTTTTTTTACTTAAATGTGCTATAACTTTTTTTAAAATAACCAAATCAATATAATTTTTTTATATTGATGCATGATATCATAACCTTTTATTTGGTATATTTTTTTTATAAATCTGACCCTAGACCTGCCTACAGGGGGGGATTAAAAATGGCACCTTTATCACAAAAAAGTATNTGATAAAGTTATAACAGTTAACAAAGTTATAAGTTTTATACACTGGACTACAAGGAACTTCCATCAGAAACCAAAATATACTATTCTAAATCAACTTTTCTCGATGTTTCTAAATGTGCAATTAGACTTTTTCTATCTCTTCTAAGTTTTAATATTATTAAAAAATAGTATTTACATATAAAAAAAATAATTAAGAACAAAAAAAATTGTTTTAAATTAATACTCATTTGATTTTGATTAGCTTTGATGCGAAGTTGAGAAGGTATTAATTTTACTATGTGTTTTTTTTTTAATTTTTTTAATTTTATTTTTTTGTGTTAAGAACTAGCAGATCATGTAGCTTTTGGAATAATCCACCAATTTTTAAAATTAAACACTATCTAAAGATTTGCTTCGAAGCGTTTTTTTTTTTTATAATGATTTTAATCACTGTCAGATATCATTATACTTGATCCATCTATGCCACGTCACCACTGTGCCGCGACCCCCTGTGCTGGGTTTTTTTTTATTGGTTTTAGCTTTGATGCGAAGTTGAGAAGGTATTAATTTTACTATGTGTTTTTTTTTTAATTTTATTTTTTTGTGTCTGTTATCATTTTTTCTCAGCTCTCATCGTAACGATTTCTTTCAACGATACGTCAAAAGATCACAAATCGTATCTAGTCGAAGTCATTACCTTCAAAAATTGAAAAAATTTCCCTCGTTCCCCATAAATGCGGAAAAAATTACAAATTTAAAAATCACTAATTTTCGAAATTTTTTCAACTTTTTTT